ATATTTATACATTTATTTCCAATAATGATAGGTTTGGTCCTCCATATATACGCCCGTATACCTGCAAAATGACGTAAAATCCTTATAACTTACGGACAATCCATAGAAGTTGACATGTATGAGCAGGGTTTGTACATTTTATTATCAGCTGAGCTGTGATGAAAAGAAAAATACCATCAAATACCGTGAAACAGGTGAAAATGTTGAAAATACCATGTTATAAAATTTTGATCATATCGCCCAGCCCTAGTTTAAGTTTAAGAAAAAGAAAGAATGAAGAATATTAGTCCTAATGTTTAGCTGAACAATGCGTGAAAAACCAGAACGAACACTTTGGATCTCTTGACGACGCGTCAGCCCAACTCGGGTACGCTTGTCAAAACATTCAGCTTTTACCTGTTGGTGTCTCGACCATCAGGTTAAGCGTGTAGGAAGAATTCACCCAGACTGTGAGAAGGCCAGGTCCGGTCTCTTACTGCCAGTAGACACTTCCAAAGTTTTGCTTCACAGCATCCCCGGAAATCTGCTTCTGTCCAACGGAGGAGCCAAGATCCGTTTCAGGTTTTTCTTTCAAAATAAAATACTTCGCATCGGAAGTTTTAAAACTTAATGGAGCTTCAAAGCTGGTTGTTGGGTCACGACTGAGGGTGTCGTGAGCCGATAGGCAAAGACTTGCTCATTGGCAAAAGAGTCAAATCTGTGCCAAATGCTGATTTTCCTGCGAAGGAAAAACAGCTCAGAGACGAAAAATGGTGTCTTTCTCGTCTCTTTTATTTTCTCTCTCTGTCGAGAGCTTCGTTCCAGGGTTAATTTCTAAAGAGAAAGAGCTAGGAACGTGACCTTGACTTTGGGTTAGTTACAGGCAGAATGAAAAGTTTAGTCTAGGGTATGTGCCATAGCTGAATAACATCTGCACCTGCATAGCAACAGTTTGAAACCTTGACAGGGTTACACTGAATGAAAATGAACTAAGTTCAATGAAATATAAGAGAATTGTTTAAACTGAAATAAATATTAAAATATTTGTCTATGATTCAAGTACAAATATCGTTGTATATATACGTATATTTCATAATAAAACACAGTGAACTCATAATCACAATGATCAAGTTAGTTAAATTGAAAAATAAAAGAAAACACAATCACTTTACTGTAAAATAACAGTTGATTAAACAAAGATTTGTGTAAAACAAATAAAGAAACATTGAAACAATGCTCTTTTGTGTTTTTTCTTAATTATAATGCAAAAATAGATTGTCATTCTTTTCATTATGTAACTTTGATTTATAAAATGATAATAACGTGTAGTTAAAAGAAAGTATAAACCAACAATATAAAGAACATTACTGGTATTATTATGTTTATTAAAGAAAATAAAATGTCTCTTTTGAGAAAGGTCTATTGAGACCAGGTCAAAGACAGGTGGAAATGTCCATTCCCCCTCGGGGTGACCCTTACACAGATAAAGAACAGTTTATTGTTRTTTTTTTACCTTTTATAAAATAAGAACTGTGTCAAAGCAAAGCAGAAAGGCAGAARTCTATAATTATTTGTTAAAAGTATTTGGTCCAGAAAAGAAAAGTTGTTTTTCTCTTAGATTGGACATGCTTCATTCATTGTTTGCTCATAACGTTATTACCTCGACAGGCATGCAGAGCAGCTCCTTAAAACTCTTCTCTAGTGCTGACCAGAAGCCCATGCTGCTGAAGCGCCAGGCGTTTTCAATGTTCAGCGGCGAACTCGACCAGTATCAYCTCTATCTTCCTCTTATTCAAGGTGAGCTACTGTTCCTGGATGTTTGGGTGGATTTTTCTAGCCATGCTTAAAGTGATCCTCTTCCTTTCAGAGCGTCTCACAGAGGCTTTGCGTTCGAACTCGAGCCCTGCTGTTTTCGCCCAGATGTTCCTGATGTTTCGTGTTCTCCTGCTGCGGATCTCGCCCCAGCACCTAACATCCCTCTGGCCTATAATGGTCACAGAACTCGTAAGATGTGACTTTTCAAGAACCAGATTTAATATATGGTGTTTAAATTTATTATAATAGTTTTTTTTTTGTTTTGTTTTGTTTTGTTTCTCAGATACGCACTTTTGCACGTTTAGAGAAATCTCTGCAGGCAGAAAAAGATGTCTCAAAGTGAGCTCTCTCTCTCATGGATTGAATATGATTTCCATTAATTCTTTGATAAAAGCCCTCACTTTAAACCCCTTATATTTTTTCTTATGTACCATGAAGGCTGGCTAAGGTTGTCCGTGGAGCCCTTGACAGAAATGGACCAGTGAACTTCTCACAGGCTGAATTGGACATGTACCTGTCAGCCTGCAAGTTTCTGGACACCTCCTTGGCTTTTCCTCCTGAGAAGATGCCACTTTTTCAGATGTAGGGCATTTAAGAACATGCCTTCATGTTGTAATAATTGGTCATTTTGTATGGGTTTTATTTTCAAAAACAACTTATCTGTTCGTCGTGCAGGTATCGCTGGGCGTTTGTTCCTGAGGTGGATGTGAACCGCTACGGCGGTCCGGAGAGTACACTGATTGAAGGAGAACAGGAGTGCACGCCTCATGTTGTCAGAGTACTGGAAGGGATTCAGCAGCGCTATGGGGTATGGCACCTTGTTCACTCTCTTATGTTTTAAACAGTCATTCAGGAGGGTTTTGTGAGCATTAACCACTACAGAAGTTATATTAGAGTTCAATGCCACACCCAGGGCTAAATAAGAAGACGCTGAGAAAGAATAGTTTCTTAAAAGACTGATTAATACATCTGTAATAAAACTTTTTTAATAAGTGTTTTGTTGTGCTCTTATCCTGATGTACATTGCATTACTTCAGTGTGATATTTTTCAGCAAGATCATCAGATGTTTTAATTTTATTCTGTTAGCCTCACACATCTGTGCCCTTGTTTGACCTCTCCTCCTGGTTTGTCGCACTGTTACACATCTGTAATAGAGAGTGTGTTGTCTGCTTGAGTAGTTTTAGTTGAGCGTACATTTTATAATATTCAAAATRTGCTTTGGGAAGTGACTTTTACTGTCTGATTAGAATAATATGTTGAATAACAATGGTAGTATTTCACTGGACTATGTGAGGGACTAATTGATGACACAAAATGGTGAGAACAGGTCAATTTAACTGAATTCTGAGTGTTTTACAGTCGAATGATCAGCGAGCCATGTGGCCACATTTTAATTTTCCAGACTASACTTTTAAAATGAAAAGAGGCAGATTTGAACCAGTTTTTCAAATCKGTTATATATTTTGTTCAACATGCTCACAATTTTACTGTAATGGAAATAATACTTTTAGGTTTAAGCCAGTTCTTCATGACATACTTTAACGGGATCCCTGATTAGTTTTAACATTAGACTTTATTTAATAAACATATATTTTAACTGTGAAATAAAGACTGTAAAAATACTGTAGGTTGTTCAGTTTTTATTATTTTTTAAACTAAAAGTTTTTTAAACTAAAAGTTTT